CCAGTGATTAGACATAAACTGAATTAACGGAAACACTAGTAAGTAGAAAAACATCAAAGAATTTAATATACTAACTCAGATACTAAATGGACAAGAGCATAAAACCAATAGAAAGAGGTCTATAAACAAAAATCTTGTTCCTCTTGGTATATGGCTATAAAATTTGAGACAGCAGTGTTGCCGTTCTCTGATCCATACAACATATCTTAATTCCCCCAAGAAATAACTTTATGTACTCCTACCACCTATAAATAATGGTGATCAGCACTGAAGATTAACAATATGATCCCAACTACTTTCCCCTTTTTCCCCACAAATCCCCTTTTCCAACCAAACTTTTCTTACTGTTGCTTCCTGAAAACACTGTACACATACTTCCATCTTCTTGCCTTTGTATGTTTTCTTTCCATGATATATCCTATCTTCACTAGAGGTTATACCTCAAGGGAAGGATGGTATATTAAAATTTTCTATAGCTCATGCAATACTTACTAACCCAGGTAAAGTTAGCTACTCTCTTTTCTAATGATACTATAATATGATAAACACCGGTTACTTATTAAGTTATTTTCTAATTACCTGCTTATTTTTCTGTACCTCTAGATTATGGTTACTCAAACTGGTTTCCCAAATACCTAGAAAATAGTACATACTAAAGAAAGACTAACTAGCGAATAGTTTAAATAGAGATGTTTCCTGGCTTTGTAAATAAATTAATGGCATGAACAATACTTCTGAAGGTTATATCCTTATCTACTGGTCCTCCTATGTGAGCTGCTCAACAGATTAAAAGGACTCATTTAAAAACATACTCTGGGGCCGACCGAGTGGCTCAGTTGGTTAAGAGCTCGCTCAAGAGTTTGAGCTCTGAGAAACAGCGGTTTGAGTCCCGGCCCGAGCTGAGCAGCCACTGAGCTGCCAACAGGTGGCAGGATGGCTCAGCTAAAAAAAATAAAATAAAAAATACATAAAAACATACTCTGATTAGAAACAAAAATGCTTGCTTTCCTATAAATATATACCATAACAAAAGATTAACAAATTATGGTCAAAAGATCACCAGTTAATTATTATTTTATTTTTTTTAAAAGTCACCCCAAAAAACAAAGAGCAACCTAGTAAAAAAAATGACTTTTTAAAAAGTTTAAAATTGTTTTCAGAAAAAATATTTAACAATTCTAGAACTTGTGTTCATTAAAGCCAGTTTTACATACAAGTAGTTTCAGATTGTTGGATATTTATGTACTACCCACTGAATATATATATTCAGAAGGTACTATGCTTCAGCTATATTGTACCACTGAGAATTTTAAATTTCAATGGATGAATATTATATTGAAGTCAAAGGCATAAGGATTATTCATATTATATACATTTGAATTTGAAGCTTTAGTAAATAATCAATGACAATGTTTTATCTTCTGCTGAAAACATTCAATGGGCTCCTCTGAAGTATTAGAGACTGTCAGAAATAATGGTGCAGTTAATATCAAAATTAAAGCTTAGCTTTTATATAGTTGAAGGATTAATAGTTAAAATACTGATAACGACTGAAGTTTCCAGAATTGTTTTATCTTCAAAAATCGTAATCCTTCTCTTAAAGAAGAATTCTTATTTTCCCAACAGTCTTTCTTTAGGGGAATTTCATTTCCAGAAGTAACAGACCATTTTAGTTCTAAGTCCCTTCTTCGCACAGCAAGTACAGTCTACTCTAAAGTGGGCAGACTGTGGCTCTTGATGATATTCAAACAGCCCCCCCTAACGAAAGACAGAGAGGCCATATCTGAACACCATCCTTTGCTTCTGGGTACCCTACCTATCTAAGTCCCAACAGTGCAGTGTCTTCAATACATGACAGAGCTAAGTTAAATTAAATTTAAATTAAATTGAATTTGCCTAAAGGAGTGTTACTTTTTAAAGAAGACATTTCTATACAGAATCACCTGCATTCAGTACCTTAACATACATATATATACGAATAATGTTAGAGGGCAGGGAGGTCCATGGTATTCTACATAACTTCAAACACAGTATGTATCAAATTCCTGATTTAAAGTAGTTTCTGATCAGGAAAATTAACATTACATCATGTTCCTGGAAAGAATTAATAATTTCTTATACGTGAAAAGGTATATTTCACATAATTAATTTTTTTCTTAAGACACTTTAAAAGCAGACCAAAACCCTAACAAACTTTTCTCTATCAGAAGATAAAAATAATACTGTAGTTGCTTTATGCTGCAATATCTGTATTTCATTTTGGGGAAAAGGCAGAGACTTCACTTAGCTATGATCTTACCAAAAAAAACCCAAAAGAAAAACCCAACAGAAAGTGTTGATTTTAATCATTTTTCTGGAGTTATTTCACCTTACCTTGGCTTGGAATTCCATAAAGCTCTTCTCTGAACATTGTTTCCTGTCTGCAAATTACGAACCCAAACTACAAACTTTTAAGTTATTCCACTTTACACGGATATCAATAAACTAGTTTCAATATTGGACTGAATTTCAAAGTTCTGCTCTCTGTTCCTATTTGGCTGAAAGGTATACCTATATCAAGATACTTCCTATCGATTTTCAACTACTGAAGTATCAGTTTTGCTGTCAGAGCTCTTTATTTTTGTACATAAAAGGAAGTGGGTTTTGATACTATCTCAATGTTCTTCCTGTCTTACAATGCATTTGAAATAAAGTGATGTCAGATTGAGAGTAAAAGCCCAAAATAAGAAAAAGGAATAGGCACAATTAGTTCACTTTACCTTTATTAGTAAAGCAATTAATTTAGAACTGCTTTGCTGCATGCTATTATCACTACTAACTACAAATTTTCTACTTTAATTTGCACTGGACTACAAAAACATTCATAAATGTGAAATATACAGCTAAAAATGTACATAATCTGTGCTGTATGAATGACCCAAGAATGAGAGAAGCACATTCTATGAGACTAAATCATTCTTCATTATTGGTAGCTCAGCATTTATCCATTTCTTTAGAATATCAGAGCTGCTGGAGTAAACATGAATTCCTCGCGACATGTACACCTCTCATCTCCACCTTCCAAACACCACAGACAGCCCATTCTATCTCAGTTTACTAGACTATCTCCAATCAAAAAGATCTTTACAGAACATCTCAGCTTGATGTAAACTGAGGATATATATTCAACACTGTGACAATTTTAAGAGCTTAGAATGAATCAAAGGCAGTTCAAAAATAATTTATCTGGACCACAATTTTGAATTTGCTGTTACCTTGCTGTTAGTACCTTCTATTACTGTGCTGAGTGTTGGGCAAGGTTATGCTATTTTAATCTACCTATTGACGGGGGTCCTATTGTTATTTCTTAGCTCTTCCTATATCATAACACATTTATCTTAAATTCGTCAAGGAAGTCTTTAATAACCATGTGACAGCCACTACTCAAACTGCTACTGTAGCATATGTGGCCATTGAAAAGTAAAGCCCTCCAAACGCCAGGATTTTGTTTCCCGTCTGGTCTCCTTTAATACTGAGTTCCATTTCCAGCCACAATCCATCCTTGATGAATCTTGCTTTTTCTCTAGCCTCATGACTTGGCTTGGTTCCTAATCTTAGATCAATAATTTCCAAACTTAAAAAGAAAAGTTTAAACTGGGGAGATTCAGGGGAAGAGACAGAGCCCTTAACATGTTTGGCTCCACCCTTCCAGAAAAGGTCCTTAGTGCACCCAGGAATACAAGGTCCTGGACCACACGTCCTTTTACTACTGACAGGGATCACTTTATAAAAACAGGTATCAGGAATATTGGTCAGAGGTCTTGACTTTGCCTTGCCTTTATTCTATTTGTTCCCAACATTTGAGATCTGGGTTGCTCTCCAACTGGTTGTGATCTTAAAGCTAAAATCCTCACAATCACATTTTCCCAAATTGCACATGAAGTCGCTACACCAGAGAACACACATGATGCCACCAATTACCTCAATTCTCTCCAGGAGTAGCACATACATTAACACAAGGAAGACAGTGAGTGAATAAGTCTATTTTTCTGATATAGTTCTATTATCAATAGTTCTAGAGGCACTTAAAATTAATGAGTCAAGTATTCCAACAAACGTAACTCTAGCTCCTGGATCCAAAGACAACTTACCTAAAACTCAAGTCTAAGAGGATATCCAAGCTAGGGAAACTCTTGGATGTCTGTTTTGCTCTGGAAAATCAGTCCAGAGTGAAAAACCTTTGTATTGGTCCTTATAAATAAAGGAACCATCATGAATTGGCTAAAAATCTGCCTTGCCGTGTACAGCTAAATTTATTCATATTTGGTAAAAACAATTTGTCCTCTTCTAAGACTCTGACAAGAAGCTACAGATAAATTAGCAAGAATAGGAAATAAAATGTATCCTTAGGTGGAAAATCCACCCCAGGGAAGCTGCAGCAACAAAGACATTATTCTTTACAGAAAGGTTTTTGGGTAAGCTATGGAGAAGACATCAAGCAGGGGATGAGAGCAAAGCCCAGCCAACGAAATTTAGTCTTTGCTCATAGAAATGAAAAGCATTCTTTTCCTAGTAAGGAGAGAGTTATTAAGAGTAGTAAGTGCTCAAATTTTAGGAGAAGGTTCAAGAAGTAAATAAAATCAAAGCATTCTAAAAACGGCATCCAACAGCTGAAAATAAATCCAGGTAAAACCTAGAGCCACGATGTCCAATGTGGTAGCCACCAGCCACATGTGGCTATTTAAATTTAAGTTAAAATAAAACTAAAACTTTAGTTCCTTGGTCACACTAGCCACATTTCAAGGGCTCAGGAGACACATGCAGCCAGTGGCTACAGTGTTGGGTTAGACAGCATAAACACAGAACATTTCCATGACTGCAGGATGTTCTATTAGCCAGCACTGATCTAAAGGGTGAGGGAAAAGAGGCTGACTGACCTGGGGTTCAGAAAAGAGGAACTACTAACAAGGGCATTTGTCCTACAATGTTCAGTACTTTATTGAGGGATCAGGTGGATTTACCTTTCCTTTTCCATCTGCTCTTTTTTCCCTCCTTGTTGCTGCCACCATCACTGCTGCTGCTGCTGTTCTCAGAACTTTGGGAATCTGACTGACCGTCACTGCTTTCTTCTGAACCTTCCGATAGCTCTTTCACCCCATCCGGCACATCTTTCTGAAAATGTAGGCATTCAATTAGGATTAATCATCACCATTTCAGCAAACAGGAATTAAATCTGACATGTATTGTTGCAACTTAATTGTGCTGATTAATTTTTAGTATTATAGGATTCAGTAGCAGAACTAGCAATATCATCTATCATCTCTCTTCTTTGGGTCAAATTAGCCAACGTTTCCATCTATGGCCAAAGGCAAACATTTTACATGACAATCATATGCAAGCATGACACAGAGGCTTAAATTAGACAAAAACTGGGTATAGATAAGTCCAGGTAAATGATTAACTGTTCAGAATTTTAAAATTATATAATAATTTTGTAAACTGTGTATACATCCATCGTTCAGGTAAAATATGTATGAATTTGTATGTATGTTAGTACCATTATGTATTATGAATTCAATTAAGAGTCTGGGTAGCAAGATATAGTGCATAATTTGAATCTAATTGGGTTTCTGAATAATGGTTAGTAAGTAGCAAGAATCAAATACAAAAGAAATCACTTTTTTTTTTAAATCACATGAATCTTTGGTTTCTGAACTGGACAGTGAGAATGTCAGTCAGAAAGGATACCAGTGTCAGCACAGTATGTGAGAGATGTAATAGGATAGTTGCAAGATCAAGAACTAGGACATTAAGACTTTCTGGGTTTAAATTCTGGCTTTTCAACTGTGTAGCTTTGATCAAAGTCTTAACCTTTCATGCCTCAGTTTCCCTGTCTATAAGATGAGGATAATAGTACCTACCTTAAAATATCACTCTGTAATAAAATGAGTTAACAAATGTAAAATGCTTAGAATATGCCTGGTATATGATACTTTGCATTAGCTACTATGTATTTATGTAATATATAAAACTATACATATATAAACAAACACATTAATGAATGTTATTTCTAAGTTACAAAATAATGGATGATTCTTTTTCTTCTCAATACATTTTTTATCTCCCCACATAATTTATTTTTATAATCAGATAAAAATAATTCTAACACGTGACCCTCCTACTTATAACTGGCGCTCATAACATAGCCAAGATAGTAAACTCTGATCCAGTAAGGAACTGTTCTTTTCCACTTATGTTTATATCCTAGTGCCATTTCTTATGTTATACACTTTCTTAAAATACACATCCCATATTTTTCTATTCTTTCCTTCAAAATGCAGGACAACTCTCATAGACTGAGTTGCCAGCCAGACCTCTTGACCTGTAAGTTCAACAAGTGTTTTAAATGCAAATATAGCTTACTTCTTTTCTTAAACTTGTGATCCCTCCAGATCAACTGCTCATGCTCCAAATTTTGGAGTCATTTTATCCTTTCTTTCACCCACTCCAAATAGTATATATTTTATTTCTCTCATGTCCCTTGCCTCCATCTCTTTTACTACTCTCGTATTTCAAGCCAATTCTCTCTTCCAAACAACCATAACTATCTCTGACAAGTTTTTCTGCTTTACTCTTAATCCTGTCCTACTTAATCATCTTCCTAAACAATGATTTGATGCTATTCTCCTAAAAAAACTCTGCCATCTCCCCCACAACACACATTCTCTCTTTCTCTCTCCCCTCTCTCCCACTCCCTCCCTCCCTCTTTCCCTCCCTCCCTCTCTTTCTCTCTCTCAAATTGCTCAATCAGGTTTTCAAAAACCTCCAAAGTTTGATCTTGACCTAACGTTTACACCACCGGACTCCTTACCACACCAGCCCACACACAGATTATGGTCTAACCACTCCAATTTACTCTACTTTCAAATCCATTCTGAATCCTTTTATTGGTGCCTTTCTTTAAGTAATTCCCTTGTTTTGGAAGGCCCTTCTTCACATTACTTATCTGTCAAAGCTCAACTCAAATCTTACAAGTTTAAAAAACAACAGGGGCAGGCCAAGTGGCGCATTAGTTAAGAGTTGGCTTGGGATGCCAGCTCTGAGCAGCAGGGCCCCGGTTCGAATCCCACATGAGGGCCAGTGACGCTGCGCCCTCTGCAGCTAAGATGGTGAACAACAGCTCGACCTGGAGCTGGACTGTCGTGAGTCGCCGGCAACAGCGTAGACTACAGTGGGGCTGCAGTGGGCTACCGTAAGCTATCGTGAGCTTTCGTGAGTTGCTGTGTGCCGCCGTGAGTGGCTGGCCAATGGCCGGTGAGTAACTGCCTCAGCTGGGAAGAGTGCAATGATAATATTAACATGGGCCAGTGAAGCGATGTCCTCCATAATAGACAGAAGAACAAAAGGACAGCTACTTGTCTGTTCCCCTCCCCCGATTCCCCAACTGTTCCCCTCCCCCAATTCCCCAATAAAATCTTTAAAAAAAGAAACACAAAAACTTTCTACATCTCATTATTCAAAATTAATCTTCATTTCTCTATACTATCACAGTACTTTATAGTACAGTACTTTATATCACCGTATGTTCTGTCACTGTGCAATTATTTCAGTAGCTATGTGAGCTTCAAGGACTCAGGGATTACACTTTATTCTTTATAGCCTCTTCAGTGTCCAGCATTTAATTAAATTTATTAACAAAGTAAAAAGTCTAGAACAGCTTAAACCTAAAAGAAACACTGAGCATATCGATGACTACAGCTCAAACCTAACAGGGTAAAAAGGGACTGAGTCCCACATACACATGGGCACAGTTACTGCATGCCACACATTAATTCTCCTGCTGATAAATCTCCTTTGGGAAACAACCCCTCTTCTCAATTGATCTGGCTTGAGCAGGCTTAACCTCAGCTTCACATTAAGGGTGATCATGAACCTGAGAGATCGATGCATCTGGCAACAGCGATCATTCAGGTACAGACACATGTACCTGTACAGACACACGTACAGGCCAAATCAATTCAGCCAAATCGAAATGAATTGAAGGGCTACTGCGTTAGTTCCTCAGACTCTACTCTTCACACTTACAGCTTGCAGACTGGGGGGGTGAGAGTGAAGTCATGTACAATGAGGAGAGAGCATGCCTGTGAATGAAGCCAAAAGAAAGTGGAGAGACCTGATAACATCCCTCTTATCAACTGTTACCAATCCCTGATAACATCATTTAAGCTCCTGGATCTAGGCAGAGTTTCCTAGAATTTTTGGTTACATGAACTAATAAATTCTGTTTTACTCAAGCTCATTTGAGCTGGTTTTCCTGTTTGTGACTGAAAAGACACTGGTAAGTCAAGGTCCCGTCTCAGTGCAGGAATTAGAAATTAGCAGGCTTGCTAGGGTAAAAATAACATAGGCTTCAGAATTCAGTCAGATCTGGGTTCAGATTCTGCTCTGATATTATTTGGCCACCACTGGGCAAGAAAATCCAATCTTCTGAACTTCATCTTTCTCAATTATAGCAAGGGAATAATAACCACAATTCTGAATTGTAAAATTCTGAATTAAATGAGAAAGTAATATAAAGCATTAGGGCTGTATTGCTCCTCAGTAACACTCACTACAATTCAAATGTTGTGAGGCCCTTGAAAAAGTTACTGGAAGTCATTTTCATTTCATCCTTTCAAGGTAATATTATCATAAAGAATAAAACATAAATTTACTTTTCTGATCTACCTACAGATGGTTACAGATTAGTTAAAAAATACTGGGTTGTCGGAAAAGTCATGACACATTTTTGCAATGAAAAACATAAAAAAAAAGTCATTACTTTTCTGACAACCCAATATATTGAATACAAGGTTGAAAACATTCTCTCTTCCTGAAAATAAGCTCTTCAAGAACAGAATTCTGTCCTTATGATGCAAATATTATTTATAGGTAGTCACTTCATATTTTTACTTTTTAAACGAGTCCTTAGCAAAAATATTTACCTTTAAAGTATATACTCCCATTCTACCAGGAACCTTATAGAAGATGCCCTCTTCACCTCGGGAGTTTGTGTGCAGCATTGCATTCAGGCATGCAAGAGGGGAAGTCCCACTGCAAAAAAAAAAAAGAAAAGAGGAACAACACAATGATTAGCTCCTGTCTCTAAATATCCAGTGTAATGCTGACTTAAGATAAAATTAACTGGTCAACATCCATTTAACATAAAAACATTTTATAAACTATAAGTCTACCAATCCACAGAGATGCTGCCATGGATCTAGAATTCATTCCCATATGTCAAAAGAAAAAATAGTTCTTTAATTTTTCTTAACCTTCATCCAGTATCAAACATTTAAGCCAAGAAAAATTTATCACACAGAAGTATCACAAATATATTGTATAAAGATTCTATTTCACTTATAATTTTATCAAATTATACCTCAATGAAGCTGAATTGTTTTGTTTTAAAACAAAACTATTTCATTTAGTGTAGGCTTTAAATGTCCAGAAGTAAAACAGAGGGGAAAAGAACACACATAGATTCAAATAAAAAACATTAAAAATCTCCTTGGCTACTGCTGCACCCGATTAAATCTGAGTTGTAAAATGAACCAATTTCCATGGTCTCTTGCATTTAAAAAAAAAATTTTTTTATTGCGATATAATTGACATGTAGTTTCAGGTGTACAACATAATGATTGTATATTTGTATATACTGCAATGATCTCTTGTATTTAGACCTATCATGAGATCACTTAAAAGTAAGCTTTGAGGGCTGGCCGAGTGGCGCAATGGTTGAGAACTCGCTTGGGATGCCAGAGGGCCCCGATTCGGATCCCACATATGAAGGACAGTGACGCTGCCCTCCGCAGCTGGGATGCTGAGCAGCAGCTCGACCTGGAGCTGGGCTGCCACGAGTCGCCGGCGACGGCGTAGGCTGCAGACCCTGTGGCAGTGGGTTGCCATGGGCTACTGTGTGTAGCCAGCAGCCAGCATGAGTGGCCAGCAGCCGCAGTGAGCGGCCATCCAGAAGCCGGCGACGGATCTGCCTCACCCGGGAAGAGCGCAATGATGGTGCCAACTTGGGCCAGTGAAGCGATGCC